CGGGGCCCCCGCCCGCTCGCCCGCCCTGGCTCCCCCGACACGTGATCGGCTTCCGAGGGCGGGCCCGGAGGCCCAGGGTTTTGGCGGGGCTTGGGCAGGAAGCCGCCCGTCCCCGACTGACCTGTTCCGGGGAAGAGCCCACACGGGACATCATCTGATCTGACCCAGTTCTTGGCGGTTTCAGGATTCGTTTTCTGCGCTCACCAGAGACCCAGTGGGGAGGGTGACAGTGGCCCCTGAGCCACCAGGGCTCTAAACTTCAGCCTTTCTTCCCAGACCCCTTTGCTGATGCAAGTAAGGGTGATGACCTGCTTCCCGCTGGCACTGAGGATTATATCCATATAAGAATTCAACAGAGAAACGGCAGGAAGACCCTTACTACTGTCCAAGGGATCGCTGATGATTACGATAAAAAGAAACTAGTGAAGGCCTTTAAGAAGGTAGGTCTTCATTGGAGGGATGGACCTTGAGCGTGCTCACATGGGGGCGCTGTGCTATTTTTCTCCCCCGGAAAGGGATGGTGAGGATGGCCTGGCCTGATCTGCCTTGCTTCCCTTGCAGAAATTTGCCTGCAATGGTACTGTAATTGAGCATCCAGAATATGGAGAAGTAATTCAGCTGCAGGGTGACCAGCGCAAGAACATATGCCAGTTCCTTGTCGAGGTGAGTTGGGTCACTAGCTGCATTGGTGCCTCTGCCCTGGCTAATCGCAGATCCTGCCTCATCTATTAATTTCTGCAGGGAAAATTAGCCCTTTCATTTTGTAAGGCTAGACGAAATGGTTGAGTTTCGAAGTACATAGACGTGTATTTCCAAAAAGAGGAGGAACTTGTCTGCCTTAGTTTACTTTTTTATGGCTCTACTTTCCCTTTTTAAAAAATACTTTATTGACTTAAAAAAATTTACTGTTGAAATTATTATATATGTCCCCCTTTTTTATGGTTCTACCTTTAAAGGTTGCAAATTTAAATTGTGTGCAGACAGGTACTAAACTAAGGATGTCTGGTTGGCTGTTCCTCCTAAGAGCTAAAATCTGTTACATTGTTAGTATTTAGCTAGGTACCCCCAGTTGAGAACCACTGTGCTCCCAGTGGTTGGGGTATGCATCTTGGCTCTTGGACTTCCCTTGCCCAGTGTAGAAGCAGGAAGATAGAACTATTTTGCTCCAAAATTGGAGACTTGAACTCTCTCAGTCTACTCTTTAAAACTCTGCCCTTTTGGTTTTTTTGCAGATTGGACTGGCTAAGGACGACCAGCTGAAGGTTCATGGGTTTTAAGTGCTTTTGGCTCACAGAAGCTTAAGTGAGGATTTCTTTGCAATGAGTAGAATTTCCCTCCTGTCCCTTGTCACAAGTTTAAAAACCTCACAGCTTGTATAATGTAACCATTTGGGGTCTGCTTTTAACTTGGACTAGTGTAACTCCATGCAATAAACTGAAAAGAGACATGTTT